ACTAGTGGTTACTAGTTGGGACTGTGTTGGTGTGTTGAATACAACAAGTGAATAAGAATGACTAGTGGTTACTAGTTGGGACTGTGTTGGTGTGTAATTGCTAAAGAAGCGACACCGACGCTGCTTGGCACGTATAGTGCAGCGGTAAATATTCAGAGCCGTTACAGCTGATTCAAACCAGAAAGACCGTTGGTTGAAACAAACATATACAGATCAGTGAACTCCTTAATGTCTACGAATAAGTGAAACCAACACACCGATATACAATCCAATCCGTCTGTCCTAGCGCCCTTGATCAGGCAACGAACCTCAATTTGCGGAYCCATTACTATTCATTGAACGACGTGTGAACAACAACTTGAAGCAATTTGCGTTACTTATTGAGATTAGGTCTATAATTACTCCAAAGATTTCATTACTAGCGTATTCCTTGCTATACAACGCGCTTTTTTATTCCATATTCGCGCGTGGCTTACTTGAAGAAAATAAAGCTGAGTATCATTTCTCTCTCTTGTCATAAATAAGACAAGTGTAACTGGTGGCTGTTTTTAATACTTGGGTATTTATTCACTGTTTACATTGAATAGTGAAAGCAATGTAAATAGTGCGTGGTGGATGTTGCGCTTATTTCTAAGTGGTTAGCCATATTTGTAAATAATCGCTTAAAATCTAGGGGAAAARGGGAAAAGAAAAAGGAAAAAAATATTGAATGCAAGATTACGAAAAAGACGCATAGATTTGGTAAAAAACATGAAGTTCCATTCTAACTAAAGCACTGGTTATAGCCCAAAACGTCATGTCTTTACCAAATGTAATCGTTTTATCTTATCTTTAATATCACACCTTAATGAGAAATTCTCAAAGAAACTAAACAAACAATATGAGCGACTTTAATCTTAAGATGACATATCTAGACAAAATTAATACATACGAAAACAATCTGCCAAACTTCAACGAAGTATTCATGTTGATTGAGGTGACCCGCAAATGTATTCAAAAAAAATCTATTTCGAGAAATCCCCAGTAAACAAGAAGTTGTTTTATGCTTTTACGTTCAAGATTTATGTTTTTGGAACTATTCTGGTTGATATTTAAATTTTTTGTACTTGAATTAAATTGGCTCAAGTTCAATCAAATCCTTAGGAATAACGCTGACTTTTTTGTGCTATAAACGCGTCAAAAAACATTAATTATTTATAATAATATTCAAACTGAATTCTTAACAGCGAGCATTTTAACTAGTGAATTGAAAAATTGCTTGTAAATAGCTAGCATCTCAACGACTAATGAATGTAACAACATCAGAGTATTACTGTGCTAATAATCGCTTCAAAGTTAAGATAAAGAAATACTTAAAGGTAACCAATTCCACATTGGAAATGTTCTGCAATATTTGTAAATAAGATCTATTTTGCGGCAGCGGAATATTTGGAATAAGACTAAGTAATTATTTTTTTCTTCTTCTTAATCAGTCTCCTTTTAAACTTTCTCATGAGGAATAAACTGATAATGATTCAGGATTTTCCATCAGTATTATATTATGTTGTATTAAGTATTCCACTGCAGATTTCAGTTTTTCTTAGACCTATAGACTGAATATTTGTTGATAAATAATGATCTTTCAATGTTTATATCAAGAAAAATATTATCTAGTAATCCTGGTGTAGTTATTGTCTTAGAAAACGTTTTCTGATTCAATTTTATTGCCTCAACAGAACAGTTCCGTTACAAGAAGCCATCTACACAGAAGAGTTACTAACCGAACGTTAACATACTAAATACTCAGCAAATCGTTCCTGGCTTGGTAAATTCAAGGTCCTCTAATATTAAAGTTGTGTCTGCTACAGCCTAACTCATATGCAGCAAAAATATCATCATTGGTAGGAAGCTCCGTCCGTGTTTTGCACGATATCCCACAAGGTATTTAAAATGAGCGTGAACTTTATTCCAACATATTTAACTTAGATACCTAGGTAATAGAATCCTGCCAGCAGCAATATGCTCTTTTCCATGAAAGTAATGAGATCCTAGTGCGATTCCGAACAAGTCTTTTGTTTTCTTACACCAAAAACGGAACGATTTTGACTTACAACTATCGACATTTTGATGACTTGATTTGCTTCTTGTAAATCAACCGTACGACTTGTTTGCGACTTGAAATGGCACCTACAACTTTGCGTAACCATGTTTTAACTCACAAGTATCCAAGTACAATAAATTATATTTTTATATATCTTTTATGTGCGACAGTTGTGACGAAGGAAAAATTGCACCGTTAAGTAAGGCTACCTTACCTCCATCTGAAGGGGAAGTTTCAAACTCCTAGGCCTATCTAAACTGGGAATTTTTTCCGACGAAATTACAAGATAAAAAATATATAATATTTATATAATATTTATATATCGAAATTTATTTTCTTTTATGACATATTTTTTACGAAATATATTTTTTAACTTACAAAAATTTAAAAAGAAAAAATTCATTTATAAAACTTCTATAAATGTGGATAACAGTTAAACCTTGCTCTAAAAGTTAGTTTAGTGACACTCGTATCTATACTGCTAAAAGTTCTGTTCCTTGGTTAGAGAGGTCGTTGTAATAAAATAGTTTACAAGATACATTAATCTTGTAGCGAGATAAAGTAGATTTACAAATCCTATTAATCTTTTATCTATATCATCTGTACTGTACCAAAATTATTTGTCTTGAAAATATAGTTTCAATGCAAATTTAAGAAGAGTAATAATAATGCAAACAATATACAAATGTCAAATGGCTTTAATATTATGGCTAATTATATTTCGAGTCTGCACTCGACAAAATATAGCGAAGTAAAGCCAAAAATGGCAAAGTTGAAAGTGTGCAAAGGGTTTTGAAGTTTATGACGAACTTGGCTTAGATTGACGACTCAGATGAAGTTAAATTGCGTGCAACAATGAATTAAATATGAAAATGTCACGGATGTTTGTTTTAGAAGGAGAGAAAAGAAAAAAAAGAAAAAAAAAGGAAAGAGGAAG